TGGGGCAGGAGAGTATCCCTTTCAGAAGGATGCTAAACAAAGCCCTGATTCTGGAAGCTTTCAAAAAAAAAGTTTTTTAACCCCCACCCCCCCAAATAAAAGTTGGTCACTGGCCTCTTGCCTTCTATCTTCTTGGTGGCTTTCTGGCCGTGGCCATCTTTGTTTCTTAGAACCTGCACTTACGGCAGAGCCTGTCAGCTTGTTAATTTTTTTTTATTTTTATTTTTTTGGTCTTTTTGAGACAGGGTCTTGCTGTGCAGTTCAAGCTGGCCTTGAGTTCACTTTGTAGCCCAGGCTGGCCTCGAACTCGCAACAGTCCTCCTGCCTCAGCCTCCTGAGTGCTGGGATGACAGGCATGCACTGCCACACCCGGCCAGCTTGTTAATTGGAACCTGAAAACTACCTGGTACGTTCCAGAACCCTCCAGACTGGTTGCACACTGTGGGCTGTTTTGGTGGAAAGGCTTGGGGTGGAGCTGCTTTCCCACTCAGGCACCCAGAGAAGCTCCTGCCCGTCCGTGGAAGGGATGCGGTAGAGAACAGGGGGCTGCCCTGGGGTCCAGGCTGTGTCTCGGGAGTTGGAGTTGCCTGCCTTCCTCTAGGAATGGAGAGCCAGTGACCATCAGACTTTCAGGAATAGGCCCTTTGGGTTCTGTGACAGGGCTGATGTGCCCTCTTTTCCTCTTTGTCTCTCCTTTGAAATGGGAGACAGGGCCGTGGGAATTGAGCTTCTTCAAGGACCTGCTTACGGAATAACCCAAGCTGTAACTGCTGGCAAAAAATGGGACCAGGGCCAGGCGCCTGTTCTCCAGGACCCCCACACTTGTACATTCTGCCAGAGGGACTGGGGACAGTGGAGGCACAGCCTGGACTGCGTCTTCGTCCCGCGGAAGCAGGCCTGGCCTCTTTTGTCCTCATGCTGCATCAGGCCTGAGACCTTGGCCTCCGCGGCCCACCTGTGAAGACAGAGCTGCGTCATGGCCTTTCTCCCAGCTCTCACTGCACCCTCTCCCAGTCCTTGGCTTCCTGTGCGCGGAAGACGCTGCACTCTGAGTGGGCTCTCGGGGGGAGCAAAGGCCGATTATTCCTGGGGTGCCAAGAATCGTGCTGCTCGGGGACCCTGCAGCCACACCACCGTCACAGAGCTCGGGGGGTGGGTGCAGGCAGGGTCGGGTGAGGGGATGCCACCTCCACCTGGGCGCCCCGGGCCAGTAGATGACTGCCGACTCACCTGGAGACTGTTCAAGGACAGCAAGAAAAATGAGGGACTTTCAGGGGCAGCTGTGTTTTCTAACTCAGTCATAATGCCCCTAAAAATCCTTATTGTTCTTGCAGTGTGCATCGGGCAGCTTCGGTAGCCGCTGACCCATCCCTAGCCCCTGTGGGACAGAAGGGGCTTCCTGGGGTCAGGTTGGAAAATAGCCCCCAAAATGAGACCGGAAGGGGACTCGCTGATCGCTGAAACAGCTGGTTTGCCGGGATGTTGATTTGGCATGCACCTCTTTTCAGCTTCTCTGAGGGGCTGTGAGGCGGCGGGGTGCAGGGCATCAGGGCGTTCCTGTGCGGGGTGAGCTCAGGGGAGCATGGAGGGTTTCGGTTTCTTGTCCAGATAAGGTTGGTAAGAACCCAGCTGCCTAGGCAGTGCCCAGGAAGATCATGCTTACCTTAAAGCAACTGTGGTGGGCTGGGCGGGATGCCCTTCCCCCTTTCCTGAGAAGTCAGGGCAGGAGGGGAGAAGGCACCTGGCAGGAACTTGAGCATTGTTTTTTAAAATAGAAGGGGCCTCTGAGTCTACTCTTTGAGACCCAGTGACCTGACTGTCTTCAAAAAACAGGGTGGCAGTGATTCAGGGTCTTTCCTTCTCTGCTGTGACCCTGGGGCATGCTTTTTCTTGGCAGGATGTTCTCTATCCCTCTTTGACTTCATGGGTTCCTTCTATTCTCAGCAGGCACCGCCACCCTTCCAGCCCCGCCCCCGCAGATACTTTGATTGAGCCAGTGCTTTATCTGTGGAGGGCTCCCCTGTCAGGAAGCAGAAATAATCTTTTAAAACAGGAACCCCTTTGTGATGTACCCGTCTTACACCACCGATGCAAAAAGATGTCACCAAGTCTCAAAGCAACAGAATCGAGTGGCTTGCCCACAGGCGGACAGACAGGTACACAGAGGGACACGCGGCACTGGGTCTGCCCTGTGTCTGCGTGGAAATTCATCCTGGGAACAATTCTGAGCCCCCTCCCCACCAGCAGCCATCTGGAAAGCTCCCGTCGCCCTCCAAGATGGTCTGGGGAGGGGCACGGGCGTTTGCAGGGCCCTGACCTTTAAGACCTTCCTTCCTGCCAGCCTAGCCCTAGCTCCAGGGCCTGTCCTGCTGGTACCGTGCTGAACACCAGCTGTGCCAGGGACTGGGTTTGCCTAGGACCCTTAGTTGCATCCTGCTTAGGAGAAAGTCCACCTCCAAGGTGAAGTTTAAACATGGATGGCATTTAGCTCCCCTTGGTAAAATATGGGTGAGGCTCCCAGACAGAATCCCACACCTTCAGTGGGCAAGGGTGGTACAACCATCCCTTCAGCCCTGAGCAGCTGTGCTAGCACCGCCAACTTCAGACCACCCACCCGCCCCTCCCGGGCCCCTTGCCCTGCCCTTCCATCCCCCATACCTTCTCAATCCCGTATGTGTTCCTCCTCCTTTGCCCCAAAACATTTGCAAAAGACAGTACCTCAGTTTTGTCTTAAAAAGGCAACACATTAGAAGTAAAAGTGATTGCATTTTTCCCAATTACAAAAGAGTTATCTTCATTTAAAAAATTGAAAATTGAATTGCTTTCAAATGCTGTTCTCCAAAAGGATGAAAAAGGCCTATAAATGTCCATAGCTAGAGATACTGCCTGCTAATGAAATATGTCCTTTCTGCATGCACCCTCCCCACACCCCAGGTAGGAAATTGGCACTTCTACAAGAGACAGACCCTGGTGCACATGAGCCGCGGCTCTGTGCCCGTGGGAGACTAGCTTCTTTTTACCAGTGTGGGGGTTGTGCGGCCCCTGCCAGCCTCCAGCCAGGAAGATCTTGCTGGAGAGAGTTGGACCCGAGAAGTGCAGGTGGCCAGGTGGGCTTCTGAAGTGCTTCTTGACCCCCGTTGCACCCCAGCATCACTTGGGGAGTGTTAAAAAGCCAATGTCGGGGCTCTGCCTAAGCCCACCTGGGTCTGAATTGCCAGGGAAGGGGTGTTGAGAGGACCCTGAGGGTGGATATCTTGGGTTTCGTTTTTTGTTGTTTTCCTTGGTGATTCTGTTAAGCGGCCGGCGCAGAACCTCTGGGCCACAGGTGGTAATGGAAGGCTCCCCCCAGCTCTGCCTGCGAAGCCCCATTGAGGAGGTGGCCATTTGCATTCGGCAGGATTTCACTTCCGTTATTTTGTGTGCTGCCCAGTCATCTTTGATCCTGCTTTCAGACGGAGAACAGGCTAAGGGGATGAGCGGGGGACTTAGTCACGGTCCTAGAGCTGGGGTATAGCAGAGCTGGGATTCAGATCTGTAGCTCTGACCTCCAAGATCAGTGGTGTTTCAGCAGCATTAGTAGTGTTCATAATTAGCACATGTAAGAAACCTATCACAAGGCTTAATAATAAGCAGCACTTGGTCATCCCAGCCCTGGGGGGGGGGGGCTACTGTCTCTGGAGGAGGTGTCTGTCTGTCCCCCAGCAGTGTGAGTCATCTTCCCTTAGTCTCCCCAGGCTAAGTAACCCCCACCAGCCTGGATCCATAGCTGCCCACTCAGTCTGTAGCACTGGTACCAGGAGTTACCCCATTTTACAGATGAGGAATGGGCTCAACAAACACTCCAGAGGCGTGGCCTGGATTGCCTAGCTGTTGGGTGCCAGTGGCAAGATGTGTGTCTGCCACTTTCCTGCTCAGAGGTGCCCAAGAAGGACCACAGCGCTGTGTGGGGCTTGTTTGTCAGTGTCCTAGGAGGCAGAAGCCCTGTTGGGGGTGCCCAGGACTCCGCTAGATTCTCACCTTCCTTCCTTCCTACCAGGAAGCCTGGCCTGCGGGCTGGCTGGGCCGGCTGCCAGTGCCGGGAGCTGATGGTGGGTGCGCTGTTGGCTCCAGGAAGTGATCAGCTGTGCCCCACCCGTGGAGATGGGAGCCGAGGGGCACCCTTTTCCTGCAGCCCCCGGGCTCTGGGCCAGGCTTCCTTTTGAAGGAAGGGCCTCGAGTCCTTGGCTGTTCCTTCCTTGCTTGGCGCGGGCCGGTTCCCTCCTTAGCCCAGCTGTCAGTCTTCCCCACCCAGCTTGCTTCGGTAGAGTGCACACTCTTGGAAACCTGCTTCCCAGAAAGCAGGATGATTATCCAGGCAGATGGGCCGAGCATTTCCATGGGAAGCGGGGCGTGGGTGTGTGCCTTTCTTGCCCACGCTCCCGAGGGACTGAGTTTGGGAGATCACTGTCAGATGCTGTGGGTTACCTGAGTCAGGAGACCCTAGCTCTGGGCATGGTGGCACACACCTGTAATCCCAGCACTCTGGGAGGCTGAAGCAGGAGGATCACAAGTTGGAGTCCAGCCTGGGTGACTTAGCCAGACTCTGTCTCAAAAAAAGGATGAGAGGGGCTGAGGATTTAGCTCAGGGGCACAGCGCCTGCCTGGCAAGCATGAGGTCGTGAGTTCAATTCTCGGTACCGGAAAACAAAAGAAAACAAAAAAAAGGATGGGAATGATATGGATGCTGCTCAGTGCAAAGGCCCTGGGTTCAGTTCCCACTACTGGGGGGAGGGTGAATGAATGAAAAGAAAGAAAACAAACCCTAGCTCAGAACAGCCTAGCTGCTAGACATGGCTTGGACGAGAGCCTTGGGCATGGAGTCTGGTCAAATGCAGTCACTTAGGACCTTAGCGCAGGCCTGAGTGTTTGATGGGCTGCAGCGTTTCCTGTAGGAGTGAGTGCTTTCTGGCTCATTTTGTGTATGGCTAAGAAGCTGTTGCTCCCTCTCCCTTCCTTTCCAGGAGTGCGTTGGGCACAGAAGGCTGCTGCTCGGCCCAGGAAGACCCTCACTGGACGGCAGTTGTGACACTGCCCAGGAGGCCACATTTGGCTCTCAACGTGGCGGATGGTGCCTTCTGTCCTTGGTTCTACAAGAGTGACTTTTCCTGACAGTCTTCTGGCCTCCCACCTGGCTGGCTTCTGTTGGGACGGTGGTTCTAGGTAGTAGAGCCTGCAGCCCTTGCCTCTTTGCTCTGGATTTCCCAGGGCACTAAAGCCCAGGTCCAGGGCATTAAAGCCCAGGGCCCAGGGAGGCACCCTTTCCTTCCCAGGCCAGGTGTAGGGCTTGTTCTCTAAGTGCAGACCCAGTAGTTCCAAGGCTCCTACTGATCCTGGGCCACAGTAACTCCTGCAGAGTGCCTCTGTCCCCTGCCAGCTGCTGTGGGGTAGAGACGCCCAGCCCCAGCAGGAAGGCCTTTCTGCTTGGTTTGATCAACAGTAAAGCAATTGGTGCTCGCTTTGTTTTGACTCTCATGTTTAACAGCAGAGCCTGTGACATCACAGAAAAGCAGCCTTGGGCTTGAGTGAGGTGGGATCCATCCCTGGTAACATGGCTCTTCCAGAGTTGTCTGGATATGGGAAATGGGATGGCCCATTGTTCTGATGATACTGCTTTCCCCCACCCTGGATCCCTGGGGTTCAGATGGGGCCAGCTCTATCCACTAGCTTTAGAAGCAGACATCTGATCCAGGCCTGCACACAGGCTCCGGGAACTCCCCCAGGGACTTCTGCAGCAACCGTGGGGAAAGAGCTTTCTCTTGCTGTGGGAGTTGCTAAGTCCACAGGGTATAAGCTTGGTGCTGCTGATGGCCAATCTGTTACCCACTTGAGGGTGAAGCCAACAAAGAGGAACGAGAACTAAGATGGACAGAGTGTGCCGTCCAGACTTGTCCCTTGCTGCCCAGGAAGTTCCTGAATCCAGCCGTGCCGGAAGCCAACTCTGCCCCGGGACTGTCCTGATTATGTGAGCCAGTGCTTTTTAGTTTTGTCTAGCCGAGCGTGGTGACGCACGCCTGTAATCCCAGCACTTGGGAGGCTGAGGCAGGAGGATCGTAACGAGTTTGAGGCCAGCCTGGGCTACTAAGTGAGCTCAAGGCCAGCTAGAACTCATAGCGAGACCCTGTCTCAAAAAGGCACCCCCCCAAAAAGCTTTTTCTTTCCTTTAAAACCAGGCAAAATTGGGTTTCTATCATAGAGAGCCTTCTAATGTAGGAAGTGTTTTTCTGTGGTCTTACTTTTTTTTAAAGTCAGCTTTATTGAGAAGTACTTCACATGCAATGGAATCCACGCCCTTTAAGCATACCCGTTGAAAGTTTTGTCGAATGTGCAATGCACCTTTGTAACTATCACCACAGTCAGATGTGGACCAGTACTTTTTCTTCCCAAAAGTTCCCTCAGCTCCCTTGATGGTCAGTCCCTCCACCCTCAGACAACCACTGACCTGCTTTTCTAGAAATCTGCTTTTGCCTTTCTAGGATTTCCTATGAAGATGATCACACAGTGAGCTGTCTGTGTTTGGTTTCTTCTCAGCGTGTTTTTGGGACTCATCCTTGTGACGTGCATCGGTGCACGCTTCCTGGGGAGGACTGCATCATGTGGATGTGCATTGGTTTGCTCAGCCACTTACCAGATGATGTGTATTTGAGCTGTTTCTAGATGTTGGCTGTTATAAATAAAGTTGTTTTGAACGTTCACTTACCGATCTTTGGGTGCATGTTTTGATTTTTATACATCATGTTTGTTTTCCTGGAGGCAACAAGTTCAGACAGGTAGATTGACTTGTTCAGAGCCATATGGCTGATACTCCCCTCGCTGGAACAGTGACCCAGAGCTGGGAGTGGGAGGGTGGACCACGGTGTTCCTTAACAAAGGGAACTTGGGGCTGCTTGGGGAAGGAGCTGCTGGGCTCCTGGTGCCCGATACCGTGGTTGCTGGGAGGAACTGTCGAGATGAGCTGCAGCCTTGGTCCTCACCGCCCTAGACCAGCGTTACAGTGTATTTGTCTTCCCCCATGGATTGCAGGGTTTGAAAGATAAAGTCTAAATAGGCTGCATTCATGAAGCCAGCACCTATTTCTCCCACTGTATTTCAGATGTATCCAGAACTGCCCATCAGAACTGGCTGTGCGCTCCCTGTGAGCTGTGAGCCAGAAGAAAGACTTGGGGCTGAATCATTCCAGCCAGAAACAAAGAAACCTTTTTTGGGTGGTGGGGGGTGGCAGTAGCACATCAAAGACTTCCCAGAAGTCTAGGGGAGATCAGGTTGGTCACCATGCTTAGTACCTTTTACAGATGCTCCAGCGAGCTCTCTGGCATGGTCTGTCTATCTGGACAGCCTCTGAAGCTCGTGGTACCCATTCTGTGAACTCACAGAGTCACCCTTGGAACTCGGAGCCACCCTTGCTGTAAACCGGTGCTATCTGGGGACCACCTGGTTTTGTGAGCTGATCCTTTCTTTATTTGAGCCAGCTTGCAGCTGAGAGAGACTTGCTGCTACAGTTTTGCTGTGACATCACCCTGAGAGAGACCTGGTACTACAGCTTTGCTGTGACATCACCCCTAAGGACCTCCAGGCAAAATCAGCCGGTGACCAGCCCTCTTTCCCCTCTTGGGGCCTGATACTGTACTGTGTGCTATATGTGTATCTTCTCAGATCCTCTCAGCAACCCTAGAGGGAATGCATTCCAGGTTCACTGTAAGGGAAACTGAGGCACAGAGGAGTCACAGCTGGGATGCATGTTCAGCTCCCTCTTTGCACCAGAGTGTGGGCTACTTACTGCGCTGTGACAAGGATTCCAAGGGGTCTCACATGCCACACCCCAAGCTGACCTGCTTTTTCTGTCTGAATCCCTGCTAGACGTCAGTGCCGAGAGCAACCAGCAGTGTGTGGGACTTCGTCCTCTGGGATGAAGTTGAAGCGGGAGGAGCTGGGAAGGTAGATTCCTCCCCTCTTCCCTAGGCGTGGGTAAGTGACACCTTGCAGGGCTGCCATCCCTCACCTCCTCACTTCTCTGTTCCCCCTCGTGCCGCCTGGGCTTCTGCCTGTACCTTGAGGCACAGCACTTAATCGCCTGCCGAAGGCTCTGTTGTCCATCGTCTCCTCCGGTATGTCCTGCCTTCCAGTCCTCCGTGCAAGGGGACAAACTTTGTGCCCTGTCCCTCTGCCCTATTTGTCTTTTGCTGACTTCTGAGCCCACTAGAGTGGTTACTAGGAGTCTCTCTTGGTAAACTGATGTTCTCTTTTCATAACTTCACAAGTTTCCTAAGAAGTTTTCTTTTTAGAGCCTCATTTATCCCTATTCCCATTCATTTATTCAATAGTAAGTTTTTCAATGTGTCCGTTGTGTGAGGTACCAGGGAGAGATGCAAAAAGACGTAGTGCTTTGCCTGCCTTCCCAGAGCTTCTGTTTTAGTGGCACTGTATGCTGACGCTTTTGGTTCAGTGAAGTTATTCCAGGCATTTGGATAAGCTTCTGGTATCCTTTTACAGCCCAAACAACAAACAAACTCTGAGGAGTGTGTTTTAGTCTCAAGCTAAGTTGGGACGAACGCAGGGGGTGGGTGGCCCTGGGCAGTACCGGGGCAGGTGCTCACTGTCTGCCAAGCTTTGTGCTCGGCTTTCTGAGCCGAGCTCATGCCAACCTGGAATCACTGACTGACCTCACTGGTGGGGGCTCAGAGAAGGAGTTTCCCTGAGCAGAAAGGGGGTCTGAATCTGTCTTTGTGCTGTAGCAGGGAGCCCTTGGGGGGGTCCCCCAAAATTTATAAAATACCTCAGCTGACAGTGGAGGGTTATCTGTAGTCTCCCATAGAACTGTGTGAATATCCTTGAGGCTCTTTCCACATTCTCCCTTGGATAACAGTGACTCGTTTCCTTGTCCCCATCTCTCATCCTGAATCAGAGCTTCCTGTCGCTGTCATCTTACATTTTCTACACCCTGCCCTTTGTACCAGGCACTGGCCCCTGGGAATCTCAGTGCCATAAGTATGTGTTGGTTTTGTTCCTCAGCATCTACTCTCTCTCTTCCAGCAGTAGCTCCCCTCTTCCTTGAAGGACGACTTTATCATTCTTTTTGGTCCTGCAGGGTTTTTTTCTTTTTTTTTTTTTTTTTGGTGTGTTTGTGTGTGTGGTGCTGTTTGTTTTGTTTTGCAGTGCTGGGGATTAAGCCCGGGGTATATTGCATGCTAGGCAAGCACTGTACCACAGAGCTACATCCTGGGCATTTTCATTTTGAGACGCTGTCTTGCTGAGTTGCCCAGGCTGGCCTTAAACTTCTGATCCTCCTACCTGGACCTCCCTTATTACAGGTTTGTGCCGCCACGCTCAGCTTGACAACCAAGTGGTCACGTCCTAGTGAAGCCAATCGTAGTTGGGCACACCCTGGATTGGTCTAAGAGCTGGAAATGTGACCCCATCAAAGCTCTTCCCTGGAACATCCTGAATTTCCCCTATGGATCATCTCACTCCGGAGCTGCCAAAGGCTTTGGCCCGGAGCCTAGGAGAATGAAGTCCTGAAACTTCAGATCAGCCCCTCTGTCTCTCTCTCTACCTTACACAGGGCAGCTTTCCATCCCCCTTTTTAACCTTTTAATTATTTTCAGAAGGCTGGGGATTTAGCTCAGTGGCACAGCGCCTGCCTGGCAAGAGTAAGGTTGTGAGTTCGATTCCCAGTACCAGAAAGAAAACCTAAAAATTTAAAAAAACAAATTCTGGCAATTATTATCAGAATAAAACAGGAATAGGTTAAATCAAATAGAACAAAAGAATTTATAAAGGAAATCACCAGACTCTGGCCTTACTCCTGTTCACTCCAGCCTCCTTCTCAAGGCAAATTATTTCATCTATTTCTTTCTGGATATTATCTGATGGACAACTGTAACTTTAGGTAATATGCTATTCATCTAGTTTTTTTTTTTCTTTTCTATTTTCATTCAGTGTTGAGGATTGAACCCAGGGTGCCTCATTGCTACTAAACAAGAACTCAACCACTGAGGTGCATCCCCAGCCATTTTTTTTGCTTTTGGAGACAGAGTCTCACTAAATGGTGTAGGCTGCCCTCAAACTTGTGGTTCCTCCTGCCTCAGCTTCCCAAATAGCTGGGATCTCAGACATGTACCACCATGCCCAGTTTACACATGTTTCTCAGTTTGTAACTTTAGACCAGCATCCATTGACTCATCTGTAAGATACTAGAATGTAGCTTATTTGTAACCCTAACTTCCTTCTTTAAAAAAAATGTACAATATATCTAGCATATGTCTACTGATTTCCTCTGTCTCTAAATGTCTATTTTGTCCCACCCTGTTCAGGATAAGAAGCATCACGGAATGGATGTCCCCTCCATCTCCTCCTCCTTAGTCACACCCCACATTTGTTGCCTGTAAATGTTTGCAGGGTCCACATCATTGACATTCACATTCTTTTCTATTCCACAATTAAGTTTTTGCATCTTTGACCACCAGTTGATTCAAAAATATGAGAATCCAAGAAATAACATTGACTTTATAAGATTTTAAGAATCATTTATTAACCCCTTTCAACCACAGCTAGTTTGATTTGGTTTTTTGGGTATGGCCAGCACGTCCCAAACTGCCCACTCAGGTTTTGTTGAATTGGACGAGATGTGTCCACATGGCTTCACTGCACACGGGGACGGCTCCCCAAGCTGGTGTGGGCCTGAGATCTGCACCGTCGCACAGTTTTGAGCTCCAAAGTGAACTGCGCTTGGGCTAACTCTCTGTGGTACTTCTTGAAACTGTTAATGATTTTTAACCAAAAGAGCTACAAATGATACAGTGGCCCTGGTTCACACTTTGCTGGGAGAGGCCTGACCCTTCCAAGAAACATTCTCTGCTCACCAGCTGTCAGGCCCTGGAGAGGGAAGGTGGAATCCTTAGGCAGGTCCCGAAACAGCAGGAAATCAAGTGAGGAGCTGTGGGCTCTGAATCCCTCTCTAGAAAGAGACAAATGACCTGGGAGAACCTTGGTTGTTCCGGTGTGAGAAAGATAGGATTATCCCCTCCTAGAGACTGAAGGATCTGCCCAAGTCTCGGCACTTAATAATGACAGG